AAAATTAGCCTGGCATGGTAGCACCCGCCTGTAGTTCCAGCTACTTGGAAGGATGAGGCGGAAGGATCGCCAGAGCCCAGAAGATCGAGGCTACAGTGGCCAGAAGCGGCCACTGCACTCCAGTCTGGGTGACAGGGTGAGACTCCAACTCAAAAAAAAAAAAAAAAAGTCGATGCTGTTTTGATTTTCTGTATCGCAAGAAAAACATATTGGAAAAGCAGCTAATGTCAAGAGAATAAGGGGCTTGTCATATAGAAACAGAAAGTAAGTCAGTTCTAGTCTGAAAACAGACTACTAGGTAACTTCAACATCAGTAAGAGGTAGTACTCCATCCCCTAGCAGGTAGGAGATTTAAGGAACTTTTTATTCCCAGGAAGTAGTGCTGGCTGAAATATGAATAGATTCATGTATATTTAGGAAAAAAATAATAAATGAAAAATGCTCTTCCCACAGAGTTTTATATGTATGGTTCCTGGTGTAATCTAAGTCAGTTGAGTACTTGAGAAAAGATGACTCACGTTAAACCTTGGTAATGTTATCACAAAGAATGATCTCTTTACTTTTCCATTATGTGAGGTTTTTGTAGCCAAACAGGACTGATTATTGTGACTGGGGTGTAACTTGATCTGTGTTGCCACCACAGTGTCTGAGCAGCAGGAGAGAGCTTTCACGCTGGGACTGGCGGGACTTCTTGGCGAGGGAGTTTTTAACTTTGGAGAACTGGTAAGTTGACCCTGGGCTCAGCTTCCTTGACCAAAGGGAGGCTGATGTTCTGCCAGCTGACTGTCTCCGTCCTCACAGCTCATGCACCCTGTGCTGGAGTCCTTGAGAAACACTGACCGGCAGTGGCTGATTGATACCCTCTATGCCTTCAACAGTGGCAATGTAGAGAGATTCCAGACACTGAAGACTGCCTGGGGCCAACAGGTAGGTGTCCCACAGTGCCTTGGCACTGCATATTCACTGACCCAACAGGTATTCCTTGAGCATTTCCCTGATATACCAGGGACTTGGGGAGGCACTGAGCAGAGAGGAGACCAAGACAGGCTAGTCCTTGCTCTCACAGATCAGGAAGTTAAGTGGCTAGTTTAGCTTCCATATTGCTCAGTGCTGCAAAGAGGAGAACAGAGAGAATGTGGGCCCTTCAGCTTTGCTAGCTAGAAAGGGTGTCCCAGAAGGTAATAATGCTCTGTAAGAGCTTAGAGGTGAGCAAAGAGGCATAGGAAGCGTGTACTCAGCAGAGGCAAAGGAAACTTTCAGGGTATTTGAGCTGAAGGAAGGTGAGAGAGGCCAGTGTGAGTGGTGGTGATGAGAGTGGGAGAAAGCGTGGAATGAGGGGGAAATGAGTGCAGTGCTGGAGGGAGGGGGCGAGCAGTCAGTGCAGGAGAGGATGTGGCTCATGCTGGAGAGTGGCCAGTGCAGGCAAGCCGTCCATTCGGGCCAGGGGATGGGTGGGCACCAGGCAAAGGGGCCTCTGTAAGAGGAGTTGCTGAGAGGTGCTTGACAAGGACTCAAGCCTTAACGGTAAGTTTGTTCTTTTTTGATGAAATTATTAGAAGCAGATATTAACAAAACATCAGCTGTGGTAGGAATTATAGTTGTCACTTTTGTACCTTCTGAAACTTTCGGTTTTCTCAAAGTTTAAAATAAACTTGTGAAAAGTGTACATAATGGAGTAGGGTGGCTATAGATGAAGGCACCACGATGAGACAGAAAGCACCAGATCAGCCAGACCTAGCTGTGGTCCGGTTGTGTGCTGACACCCCAAGACAAAAACAGTCCCCTGGGAAAGGAAGGTGACGAGTAATTTAAGGGAAAAAGAAATTCAGAGATGTGTGCTGCTGGCATCTGCCCAAGTAGCCAAAGCCTGTGTAGGGGATGGTGAGTGAGCCCTTCTGAAGAGCTCGACCTGTCCAGTCCCTGCGGTAGGAATGTCTTTCTCGGGGCTGCTTGTGTGTGGGTGCGAGTTGCCACACGTTTGAATGGAGGAGTCTCGTGTCTCCTTGATTCAGTCATGTGCTCACCACACAGCCTTTCGAACCAACTGCAAGGAGAGCCAGACCATGTCTTGCAGGAGCATGTGCTCTAGTTCTCGTGACAGCCATGTTTTCCGTTGTAAGTTAATAGCTTGCTCTGCTGAGTCAGACAAGTCTCTAGAATGTGAGGAACGTGCTCCTCCGAGAGGCTCTGCCCACACGGGTTGAGCAGGCCACACCCCGAGCCTCCCGGGACGCAGGGCTTTGTCCCTCCCCGACAGCAGCACCTTGGGCAAGAGAGTCTTCCCGACACACCACACCCTGTAGCCTGCCTAATCGTGTCTGTAACAGCACAGACCTTACTTACCTTGTCTTGATAAGCAGCCTTTCAGTTAGGTATGATTGCCCAAGAAAAGCGAAGCTGAGATCACTTGAAGTCACTAATGAACTTCAGCCGTGTACGTTATCAGATGTTTGGAGCTGCCATAGGTTTTTTTTTTTTTCAGTTTGCTGTTGTCAAAAGAATTCTAGAGCCCATGTAGGTAACTATCGTCAGCACAAGCATTGTTTTGTCTTTCTACACTTTACAGCCTGATTTGGCAGCCAATGAAGCCCAGCTCCTGAGGAAAATTCAGTTGTTGTGCCTCATGGAGGTAAGCAAACTACCAGGAACCGCTTTGTGATTTAATATCTTGGGCAGGGATGGCAGCAGTGGCTGCAGACTCTCCAGTCCTCTCATGAGTGCTGTTCGAACTTTCAGCGGTACTTCTTTAGCCCATGCCACTCTCTACCATCTTCCTTTTTCGTTTTCCGCCACTTGCTTTTTTAGGTTTGTATCTGGGTCTTAGCTCAGACAGCCCCTGCTTAGAGGTCTTCCCTGACCCTCTGAGCTGAAATGAAGTACCTGGCCTGCCCTGATGCAGCTGCCTTCTCAGTGCGTGTCCATTCTTATGCACATGGGCCTCTGTCTTCCCCACTAAAATTTAAGCTTCTTGAGGAAATGGAGCTTGTATTTCTGGCTCACCACGATATCCCCTGGCACATGGTAGCCTCAAGTACTTTTTCAGTGGATGAATAATTGCTATTGTCAAAAATTCCTGTAAAGCTTATTTTTGCTATTAACCTTAAATAATCATTGAAAGCTTGTTTTTAGCAAAATGTATGACTAATACTAAGAAACCTTTAGTATATGGGGTGCTTATAAGATGATCTCTGTTTTCAGAGCATGTATTGACAAAAATATTCCCAGTTCATTCTCAGACAATTTTTATTTGGAAAAATGGTTTTAAGGAGTTAATTAAATTTGTTTTCCAGATGACTTTCACACGACCTGCCAATCACAGACAACTCACTTTCGAAGAGATTGCCAAAAGTGCCAAAATCACCGTGAATGAGGTACGGTCCCTGAACCTAAAAGGTTATAGCAGCAAAGCTGCCACCTATGGGAGTCAGGGTTCTTGTGTGTGCTCTGCTCCCTGGAGGGTGAACAGCAACAGAAGCAGCCCCACCCAGGTTTCAGAAGCCTATCGGGCCTGTGGGTGTGTGTGTCCGGGTGTCTTCCAAGAGCCCCCTCTGCGCAGGTGGAGCTGCTGGTGATGAAGGCGCTCTCGGTGGGGCTGGTGAAAGGCAGCATAGACGAAGTGGACAAGCGCGTTCACATGACCTGGGTGCAGCCCCGGGTGTTGGATTTGCCGCAGGTAATGTGACGAAAGCCCGCACTTCCCCTTTGTGGGTTTTCTGGGTTGTGTCTACACAGTCTTCGTTTCATTTGGATGGAGGCCATTTAGGAAGAAGGCATTACTAGACAAGAGATTTTGAGAATGAATCACCACTATTAGGTTTTTCTAAGAACCTAATTTAATGCTAGCTTGGGATTTGAACCCTGCATTTAAAGGCTTATTATGACAACAGTGCTGGTTGTGCTAATGGTGGCTTTTAATCTTAAGATTGGTACTCTGATCGAGTATGTTCCTGGTTCTGTGATTTGAGCGCACACCCATTTTATTTACATTTGCTGGAAATTAAATTCTGTGGGTTTCCTCTAGTCTGCTCTTTCATGCATGCTTTTTTTTTTTAATGTTCTTGTGGTAAGAAGATCTCATCACACTCCCCCAGCTCAGGTGTCCTTTTTAGTAGAGCTGACTCAAAGAGTTAGCTGGAGATTTAGAGCGGCCCCATGTAGTGCTGTGGCATTGGCCACTTGGCGTGTTACTTCCCAGTGTCTTAACGTCCCACGTGGTCCTAATTTGCACTTCAGATCAAGGGAATGAAGGACCGCCTGGAGTTCTGGTGCACTGATGTGAAGAGCATGGAGATGCTGGTGGAGCACCAGGCCCACGACATCCTCACCTAGGGCCCCCTGGTGTCCCCTGCCTTGCCTGGGAGGCGTTTCTGTGGCTGATGAGACTGGCAGCCAGGAGGGTCCGCATTGGACTGGTGATGGGGGTGGGGATCCTGTCTGGAGTTGCACCTGTTCTTGCTGTAAAACGTGACTGTCGTGGACGGCAGGCCAGGCCCCAGGGAAAGGCTTCCTTCATGAGTCTCTGGCATGGCTGATGGGTCTCTGGGCCTCAGGTAATGAGGGAGAGCAAGAGTGTGCCAGGGAGGAAGAGGCCCTCGAGTCTGGAGGGCTCACACCCAGGTTGATCGCCATCCTCATCTACCTGTGTGAACGCCTTTTCCAATGGGGTTCGAGAATGTTCCTATAATAAACACCTTTGTTGTGTTTTTTTTTGTGGTCCTGTTTCTTTGGGCTTAGCTTCCAGGTCAAGCCCGTGCCTGGAAATTAAAAAGCGCAAACTGGCAACTATAGAGGGCTTAATGGGGAACTGGCGCCAGCCCCTCCCCTCCCTGCACCGAGACCACCGAGGAAGCTAGTTCTGCCTCTTGTCAGAGAAATATGGGAGTGTCTGCTCCCCTCTCCAGCCCACTCATGTGCCCGCTCTGACACAGGCATCTACCTCCTTGCCACCACACATCACTCAAATATCCAGTGGCTTCTGTAACCGAGTGTGCCCCAGTGTTGACGTGAGCCTGCCCTGGGACATCCTGTGCTGGGTGTCTAAAGGAAACCACAGTGGCTCACACCTATAATCCCAGCACTTAAGGAGGCCGAGGTGAGAGGATTGCCTGAGCCCATGGGTTCGAGACCAGCCTGGGCAACCTGGCGAGAGCTCATCTCTAATGAAAGAAAATAAATAAGCCGGGCTCGGTGGCTCAGCCTGTAATCCCGCGCCTTTGGAAGGCTGAGGTGAGTGGATTGCCTGAGCCCATGGGTTTGAGACCCGCCTGGGCAGCGAGACCTCATCTCTACAATAAATCAAAAAATCAGCTGGGCGTGGTAGCGCATGCCTGTAATTCGGCTGCTTGGAAGACAGGCAAAAGGATCACCGGAGCCCAGCAGGTCGAGTGAGACTCCAACTCAAAAAAATATATAAAATAAATAAATGAAACCACCATGCAGTGTGCAGTCTGGGAGCTGGAATGCACATACACACAGAAGAATCAGTGGACGTCAGGCAGGAGGAGGTTTAATGTGGTCTTTCAGGCCTGTGTCTGGGTGGCCGTGGATCCTTCATGTGGTGGAGCTCTTCTTGTAGCTCTCCAGGTGGGATAAGACCCAGCCTGAAGGAACCAGGAAGCTGACGAACATCACTGAGAGCCCCACAGCCTGCTCCTGGTGGAAGAAAGCACACGTGAGTCTGCTGGGCTGTGATGGGATCAGGCCTGGGTCACCGAAGGAGGGTGTCCTCCTGCCCTCTGTCCCTGGGGTCCTGCAGTGGGGGACTCCCCCAGGTGTGGCGTCACCGTCTGCCTTCAGGCTCCTGTGCAGCCGTGAGCAGGGGGCAGCCACCGTCATCCATGGGCTGGCAGCCTGTAGCCCTCAGCAAGGAGAACGACCCTTGAGAGACCAGGAGGACCCGCCTTGGGCTGCGTGTCTGGAGCCAGCCACTCATCGCAGGCTCATCCTCTGCCCGAGAGCCTGCCTGGCTGCCTGTGCCTTCTAGCAAAGCTGCGGTTCACCCTGAGCAGACGGGAGTCTCAGCCCCAGACACAGTGTGTCCCTCCCAACCACGGTCTTGCTACCCGTGGCCACACGTGTCTGGGATTACACAGAATGGCAGAAACTTTAACTCAGGTTTTAGGTTTTAGGGTGCATGCAAACGTGCAGGGCCCTTTCTCTAGATGGCAGTCCTGTTCAGAAGCTGGGTAGAGGCCAGACTCCCCATGCTGTGTGTGCGCCCACAGAAGAGACCCCACCTGGAGCCCCTGTCCTCAGGGGCTGAACTTACAGAGCCAGGTTCTGAGGCTCCAGCCAAGTCTCACCCTCACTTGGCTTCCTCCTGAAACGGCCTGCCCTACCCCTCTGTTTCCTAAAGCCAGATCAGATGCCACATTGGAGACGAATTCTTCCATTTGACCTCAACCTCTGAGGTTTAAGAGCAAATCTGGCCGGGAGTGGGGCCTTCATCCGGGCTCAGGTCTGACCTGTATGACCTTGGGCAGATGACCTTCCTGACCTTGATATGTTTCTGCTTAAAACAGAGACACTCATGCTCTTGGAGCGGGCGGGTTAACCTAGGTTCACCCTAGAGTCACCCTGTGCTCTCTGACCCTTAAAGCAGCCCCACCCTTCCCTGTAACAGAAGGAAAAGCTGGAGGACCCAGAGTGCCCTCCGAGCTCAGCCTAACCCCATCCTCTGCCAGAAGGCAAGTGGGAACTGAGGACGGAGAGACCCCTCCCCACTGTTGACTCTGCCAGCCCCTTCGGAACCTGGCCTGCAGGGGGTGACTGGGGGAACCTCTTCCTGGCATTCAGACACTGTGACAGCTGTGGCACTGAGGCCCAGCCCATGGCTGCCTCTCTCCAGCCTGGACTTCCCTGTCACCCTAAAACCCAGGATATGGGCAGAGTTCCCAGGACTGCCCGCTGCCACTTGGAGGTCACTTACCATGGGGGAGGTGGGCGTTCTGGCTGGCTTGGCAGAGACATGTGCCTTGGGGACTGCCCAACACTTCAAGGGGGCTTGCAGCAGCCTGAGGGGGGGAGCCAGCCTTGACATGGTTCTGGGGCCCAGCTCCTCCCAGAGTTCCAGCAAGGTTCCCTGAGAGTCCTCTGCTCACCGTGTCCTCTGCTGCTTGGGCGTTGGACCTTTTTATAGCTGAAGGCAGGAGCTGCAGCTGTCCGCTTCTGTCACGGGGCTTGGCAGGCGGGATGCCTGCTTGGAACAGGGAGAGAACAAGCCTCAGACCGGCAGCCCCTGGCTGGGACTCCCCGACGTGACCTCAAGGGGCTCGACCTTTTACAGTGTGGGGAGGCGTGTCCCCCTCTGGAGAGGGCTTCACTTTTTTGTGAAAAATGACCTCCATGAAAGAGCAGGGCCAGGGAAATCGGGTTTGAGAATGCAAGAGGGGGAAAGCCACAGACTTGAAAAGTAAACCTGGCCGGGTGTGGTGGCTCATGCCTGTCATCCCAGCACTTTGGGAGGCTGAGGCAAGAGAATTGCTTGAGCCCAGGAGTTTGAGACCAGCCTGGACAACATAGCAAGACTTCATCTCTACAAAAAATCAAAATCTGCCAGGAGTAGTGATGCACCCCTGTAGTCCCAGCTACTCAGAAGGCTGCGGCAGAAGGATCGCCCAGGCCCAGGAGGTCAAGACCGCAGTGATCCATGGTCATTCCACTGCACTCCAACCTGGGCAACAGTGCAACGCCAACTCAAAAAACAAAAAGGCCAGGTGCAGTGACACACACGCCTGTCATCCCAGCACTTTGGGAAGCCGAGGCAGGAGGTTTGCTTGAGCCCAGGAGCTCGAGACCAGGTCTGAGCAACATAATGAAACCTCGTCCCTACAAAAAAATCAAAACCCAAAATTAGGCGTGGTGGCACATGCCTGTAGTCCCAACTACCTGGGATGCCAAGGTGGAAGGATTACCTGAGTCTAGGAGGTTCAGGCTGCCATGAGCCATGATTGTTGTAATCATGCCACTGCACTCCAGTCTGGAGACCCTGAGGAAGGAAGGGAGGGAGGGAGGGAGGGAGGGAGGGGAAAGAGGAAAGAGAAAGAAAGAAAGAAGGAAAAGTCAAAAAGGAAACGTATAAACCTGTCTCTGTGGTTGGTAATTACATGCACCCAGCTTTATAACCGCAGTCACCTGAAATCCGCGATGAACAACCCAGGTCTTTTGATGAGAGCAACCAAAACGCACAATGGGTCACCACCACTCATGTTGTTGCCCAAAAAGCCAAGATTCTGAGAAAGTTTATCTTTCACAAACACAGATGTACAAAAAGGACATCTGTGCATTTATTAAGGAAGTTTCACGTTTTTACATGCATGCCCAATACTTACAGTCAATGTTGCAAAGCACTTTTGTAGAGTCAAATTTGCAAAAAATGCATTGAATGATTGACAACTCTCTAAAAGTCTACACAATTTATACCCCCAATATTGAAATGGTGCAAAGATGAGATACATGGCATAGAGAATTGTAAAAAATAATGCCGACAATTGAAAGTAGTGGAAAAAACCAGAAAAACTAAAAGAAAACTTTACATATAAAAAGGTGTATTACAGGAATAGATTATAGGCAATTGCACAGAGATCACCCATTAGAACTAGCCAACATTCGTGATTATTAAACTATATTTTGAAGTTTTTCATCACCAAGAATAACTGCTTTTTTTCTTATAGAACATAGCTCTCTTCAAAGAATACATTCTTATTCATTTTCTACATGGCGCTGCTCTTTTCCAAATTCCTTTGATTGTGATTTTGCGGATTTTAGACTTTAGGGATTTTAATCTTTCGAGATTCCAACACTCCAGAGCATGGCTTTCCGGACTGTGACCCAAACCTGTTCCAGACACAGCACACTTCCACCCCTTGCTGGTGCTTTGCCTGGATAGCCTTTCCCTCATGTTTTAACTTGTTTCTTCAAAATCATTTAGGCTTTGTTCAGATGACATCTCCTCAGACATATCTTGTTTATTGTCTGGTTTTCTTTTTTTCTAACTTTTAAATTTTTTATTTTAAAGCTGTGGGGTACAATTCAGGGTTAGGGATCCCAGTATTCATTATGAAGATACCCTTGTTGATGAGGCGTGCCCCCCCTTCCCCAGGCAGATTCTCATTACTGTCGATCCCGCCTCCCTGCCCACCCCCCATACTGTCTGTTTTTATAGCCCCGGGAGGGTAGGGACTCTTGTATTCACCACTGAATCTCTGGGGCCTAATTTAGCAGGTTTTTCAGTCAATGTCGGATGGATGGATGGATGGTTGGGTGAGTGGGTGGGTGGGTGGTTGGATGAATGGATGGATAGATGGGTGAGTGGGTGGGTAGGTGGGTGGGCGTGGATATAAAGATGTATCGAGTCCCACTGCATGCCAAGCACCGTGCTGGATTTGGGGGATACGGAGCTGAGTCAGGCGTGGGCAACAACCATCAGAATGGCTCGGGACATTGCCGTTAATGGCAATAAAGGCCACTGCCCAGAGTGAATTCTTTAGTTGTCTTCAGGCCAAATCTACGTAAGCCAAGAGAAACAGGACATCTGACTCCACCAGTCCCTGGGCCCCAAGACTCACCCATGGCCATTGTCTGCACCCCCGGACTTGGCTGTGGTCACCCCAACTCTCACTAGGAAAAATCATGTCCCGGTCAGCTTGTTTAGAAATGGAAAATGGATGATGTGAGTGAATTTCACTGGGTACGCAATTTTGTTTT